ATCGTTCTTAATAAATAATACAAGAATCTTTCTCAGAACTGAAGCACATGAGTTTCTAGATTGAAAGAGTTTATTGGCATCCAGCACAATAGATAAAAAAGACCCACACCAAAACACAGCAAATGACTTACCAGAACGCTTAGGTACTTGATAAAATTGTTTCCAGGGTTTCCAGAGAAGGGGAGAAAATGGTCACAAAGACTCTGTAATCAGAATGGCACCAGAATTGTCTTCAGCAACCCTATAAGCTAGAAGCCAAAAAGAGCGATTCCTTGAAAATTCCAGGGAAGTGGTTTCCAATGTAGAATTCAATTCTCAGACTCTCGATGAAGTGTGAGGATAGAATAAGGTCACTTTAAGATATGTAAGGCCTAAAACATTTACTTTCTATGCTCCTTTTCTCAGAAAGTGACTGGAGGATGTGCCCCACCAAAATTAGGAAGTAAGCTACGAGAAAGACCTGGGAACTAAGAAATAGGTGTTCAATCACAAACGTAACATAAAGGGAGTCCCCAAAATAATAATAAAAGAAAATTTCAGCAGCACAACTGTTTAGAAGGACAAATGGGCCACCAGTCCACATTGGAGCAGGAAGTCAGAGATCCAGAGGGAAGGTCTCAAGAGAAATGAACAAAAACCAAAAAAATAGAAATTACCTGATGTACATACAGGAACCCACAAAGGCCTAACTGCAAACCAATTCTAACACTTAGTGGTAAAGATAAGACCCACAAGCTTGGCTCAGCTTAGCTGTTACTCTGGGCTGACTGGGTTCAGGACCTAGAGATGTTCTCCAGGTGAGCTCTACATAGTGATGGAGTGGGTGAAAGGCTCTGGAGGCAGATGTGGTTGGGTGTTAAGTCCCAGCTCTACCTAGAACTAGCTTCATGCCCTTGGGCAAATTGCTTGATCATTCTGAGTCTTATAACCTCAGTAAATAGGAGATTAAATAATGGCCCATGATACTGTGAAGATTTATTAAGATGATGTAAGCTAACATTAGTCACAGTGGAAGTTATCCAGCAACCTCTGCCAGCCCAGCTCACCAAAACTTTGCCATTGCTATGGTCTGAATGTTTGCGTCCCTGCAAAATTCCTGTACTGAAATCCTAACCCCCAAACGTGATGGTGTTAGGAGGTGGAGCCTTTGGGAGGTGATCAGGTCCTAAGAGTGGAGCCTCATGAATGCACTTTATAAAAGAGGCCCCAGAGAGCTCCCTTGTCCCTTTCACTGAGTGAGGACACAAGTCTGCCACCTGGAGGAAGGCCTCCCCTGACCAAATGGCACTCTGATTCTAGGCATCTAGCCTCCAGAGCTGTGAGAAATAAATTTTTGTTGTTTATAAGCTACCCAGTCTGTGACATCTTGTTTCAGTAGCTCAACTGGACTAAGCCTTTCTCCTGGTAAAACGTATGGACTAGTGCCCGCGGCATGCTGGCCTTTTGTACCAGTAGAATACACTCCCCCATCCTACATAAAGTGTGGCCCTCTGGACCAACAGCATGGGCGTCACCTGAGAGCTTGTGAGAAATGCGGCATCTCAGCCTGCCCCAGGCCTGCTGAATCAGAATCTGCATTTTCGCCAGATCCCTAGGGGATGGGTGGGCGCCTTAAACACTGGTCTAGCAGGCCCCAAGTATTTCTCTTCCCACCAAATAATCTGCAGGCTTCCCAGGAGCTACTTGGATTTGTTCCCAAACCAATTTATACGCTGTTTCTGCTATTATATTATGAAACATAATTAAATAGATGAGCCCAAATCTGAGTACAAAGAGAGAGCTGTTGTTTCTATGAAAACTAAGCTGTATGCTTTTAAAAGACATGATAAAAGAGAGTGGCCTAGAATTAGAGTTCAGCATAGGAGGCTTCTGGGAAGGGTCTGATACCTATTGCCGGCCAGGGTGCCCTGGGGGCCAGGCCTGAGGACAGCACGTCCTCCCCATTTACCCTGGGTCAGCCTGTACCTCCCTCGCTACCACCACTCCCGGCATCACAGCTATTCCTTGTCCAATCCAAGTTTTCTTTGCTCCTGAGCTAACATTGGCATGCTTACATGCTTTACACGAATTTTCTAATTAACCCTTGAGCAACCCTATGAGGGAAGCTATTACTATCCAATTTGCAGGCAATAAAAATGGAGATTAAGTCACACAGTAACTGGCAGAGGAGGACTTGAAAGTAGGTCTGCCCTCAGATGCCAGGCTCCAACCATGACACTGTTCCTGGCAGCAGACAGCAAGTTTAGAGAAAAGACAGATGGCACAGAAACATTTGAGAAATGTACATCCCTGCCAGCAGTTCAAGGGACGTCGAGCCAAGCAACCGCCGAGCGCCTCTCACCTGTCAGATCTGCAAAGCCTTTTGTTCATTTGCAATTTAATTTGCATTTTGATCAAAGTAATATGTTTTCATGGTTTAAAAGAGTCAAATGGCACTGCAGACATGCAAGCTGAAAAACAGCCCACTCTGCCCTGGCCTGCAAAACACATGCACACCAACACGCACACAGTTACACTCCGTGGGAGGAGGGGATGCGATTCCAAGACGGTGCCTGAGCCAAGCCTGGTCCCCCACCATGGCCTCCACCTTCTGTCCACTGCTTTCCAACGTCCGCACTTCCTCCAGGCTCTCCAGGGCCTCAAGGAATGTTGTCCTGATATTCCTGTGATCTTCCTAGTACAGCGAAGCGAGGGGCTGAGTGGCCCAGACTGGGAGTGGAAACGGGGAATTGGAGGACGGATACACAGCATGAACCTCAAATGACCCACACCCCTTGGCACAGACACCTGTAATCTCACTGCGGGGAAATCACCGCAAAGGGAAAAACCAACACTGGCCGCATCATCTGTAGACCACTGTCTGTGGACGTGCCATATTTTCATTGTAGTAACAATATTAAATAATTTTTTTCGAAAAGAAAAATAAATATATCTCCAACCTGTCACCCTGTCCCACCGATAACCGCTTTCTTTCGGGTGGATCCCCAAACGTGCAGCTTTTCAGAGAGTTGTCCTCAGAGTGCCACAGGGAAGACAACGGGCTCTTCAGAGGGAGGCTTGTGTTCAGTCCTGGTTCCGCTGTGGGACATGGGGCGAAATCCCCTCTCTGAGCCTCAGTTCCCTCCTGTGTAAATGAGGGTCACATTTCCTGCCTCACAGAGGAGATGGAAGATTGGAGAGATGACACTTGTAAAAGGCCTGGCACTGGGCCAGGCACATAGTAGCTGCTAAACCAAGGAGAGGGCAGCTGTCTCCCAGAAAGTGTCTCGGCACCCTGGCCTCAGTGCTGTCCCCTCCCCTGGTTCCAACTGCCCTCCCTTGGACATTCCCGGGGCCCCTGTCTTGGTGAACCCACTTTCCAGCACTTGTCACTCACTGCCTCCTGAACGCCCAGACAAGGTCTCCCCATAACCAGAACCACCCTACAAGGTGTACTCACAAGTGTTCACAGAATGAATCCTTATGGCCCTGCTCAGAGCTCACAGCCCCCAGCCCTTCCTGCTTGCCCCTCCTGGAGACTTCTGCCCCCTACACTGTCCCGGTGGCCCTCAGTCAGCACTGGCCCTCCCTGTCTGAGCTCTCCCATGACCTGTGGGCTCCTCGGGGTAGGACTGATGCTGGTCCAGCTCTGTCTCCATTGCAAGGCCTATCAAATGCTGCTCCCAGGATGACAATGTCCTGCAGGCCTTCCTGCCATGGTTCTTTGTTGACCACCCACCACGGGGGATGAATACGAGAAACACGTCCCTGCTTTCATCAAACTAACTTTCTGGTGGAGGCAGATTTAAAAAATGCCAACAAATATGTAAATTCTAACTGTGACAAGTGCTACGAGTAAAACAGTGATCATACAGCAGTGAGGACAAATGAGCTACTGTCACACTCTACAGTATGGGTGAATGTCACAGGCACACGCAGCCAGACACTAAAGTGCACACGTGTGTTTCCATTCAGCTGAAATACAAAAACAGGCCAAACTAATCTGCGCTATTAGAAGTGAGGGTAGTGATTACCTTGGGAGGAGGCAGGCCGGCTAAAGGGACATGAGGGGGCTTCTGAGGATGCTGCTCATGTTCTGTTTCTTGATATGGGTGCTGGTTACATGAGTGTGTTTGGTCTGTGAAAACTCATCAAGCTGGACACTTATGATACGTGGGCATGTGCGTATGGAGTGCATTAAGCCCAGGGAGTATTGTGATCAGCTCAAAAGCCACCTCCTCTGAGAGGCTTCCAGCTCCACTCCCCACCCCCTCACCCCGCCCTGCCCCCCTAGCTTTAGACCCTACTCCATGCAAGCTCAGGAGGGGCCCCAGCCTGGCCATGGACTCACAACGCTGGTCATCTGTTAGGATATCTCCCCTGGCTGCTCCTGGCTTACGTGCCTCTCAGTCCCCAGCCCAGGTGCAGGCTCCTGGCCTTGCAAAGGTCTCAGGCATTTAGAGAACATTAAGAACAAAGTGGGACTGGGGATAAGGGATACCCAACGCCAAAGCCTTTCTCTGTGGGAACAGAACTGCCCTTACCAAAAGAAGGTAGGAGTGCGGGTCGGGGGCGGGTGGCCATTCAAGGGAGAAGGGTTGGAGGCCAGAGGGTCTGCCAGGCCCTTGACGTCTGCGGTCTCCTGTTGGCTATCTCGGGCCGGCACAGGCTGGAGGTGGAGGAGTTCGCTGCTTCCTGAGGCGAAATTTGTCTGATCCCCCTTCTCCAGCCCCAAGTGTCCGGAGCCGCTGCGAGAGGCGCTCTGTTGCTAGGGCTGCGTCTTCACACAGCCACCCGCAGTCGCAGCCCTGCGCCCACGTGAATCGGCAGAAGCCATTTCCCGGGTCGCGACTTCCTGGCCCCCATCCTGGCGGAGGGTCCTCAGTTCACAAAGAAATCAAAGGGGAAGAAGCAGCCCATAGAAATAAGCTTGGAAAGTCTTAGGGCGGGGCACGAGTGCAGTTGGCCAATCGCCGACCACCGGGGCGGCCTCCTCAGCCCTTTAAATGTGCTGCCACCAGGTACCGAACACCCATAGTCCTCTCAGCCCGGCCTGTAGCCTCGGAGTGGACCTGTGCGGACCACTGCGCACCACCGAGGGCGACGGCATCAGCCCCAGGCAGCTGCCGCATCGCCCGCGTCGCCGGGGCCGTGCTCTCCCTCAACTGGCTGGGAGACGCGTCGTCGCGGCTGCCCTCTAACAGTTCCGTGGGCAACGGATCCGCGAGCACTCGCCAGGCCTGGGGTCCCCGCCGCCTGGACGGCCTGGAAGGGGTGGCAGGAGCCGGCGCGGCGCTGGCGCCGCGCACGCTAATCGCGGGCACCTACCTGGCCCTCTGCACTGTCGGGCTGGTGGGCAACGTGTTGGTGCTGGTCCTGGTGCGGTCTCAGCAGCGGCGCCGCGGGTCGCTGCTCAGTTGCTTCCTCCTCAACCTTGCAGCCACCGACCTGCAGTTCGTGCTGAAGCTGCCCTTCTGGGCCGTGGACATGGTGCGCGACTTCAGCTGGCCCTTTGGGGGTGCCATGTGCAAGGTGGTGCTGACGCTCACAGTGCTAAACATGCACGCCAGCAGCTTCTTCCTCAGCGCCATGAGCGTGGCGCGCTCCCGCTTGGTGGCGAGAGCGCTGCGCCCCGGCCGGCCCAGCACCCCATGGGCTGTCTGCGTGTGCTGCCTGCTGTGGGCCACAGCAGTCCTGGCCACCGCGCCCACCGCCCTGTTCGCCACAGCGGCCAGCGTGGGGGCAAACGCTTGTGCCTTCTGCGCTTCCCCGACGGCGGTCCCAACTGGCTGGCCTTATACCATCTGCAAAAGATCACGGTGGCCTTCGTGCTGCCGCTGGCCACGCTGGGCACCTGCTCGCTGCTGCTTATGCACTTCCTGCGGGGGTGGCGCGCACGCTGGCCGTCGGGGGTCCGGCCCCCAAGACGCTCCCAGGTTACCTGCGCGCTGGCCTGTGTGCTGCTGGCCTTCGTGCCCTGCTGGCTGCCCAGCCAAGTGCTCACGCTCTGGGGGCTGCTGATTAAGCTGAACGCAATGCCCTGGGACCACACCTACTTCCTGGCCCAGGTCTATCTCTTCCCGGTGTCCATCGGCCTGGCACACTCCAACAGCTGCCTCAACCCGCTGCTCTACTGCCTGCTGCACCGGGACTTCCGCCAGGGCCTACGAGAGCTGTGCGGCCGGGCCAAGCACCCTACGGATCTCGGACCTGGCTCCGACAGCCGCGCCCCAGTTACCGCGCTCTTTGACTAGGCCTGAACCCGGAGAAGCACATCTCTCAGTAAGGACCACCCGTCGCTACCAAGAGTGATGGGGCAGATTATGGCACTTGGGATGGGGGTGATGATGTCAAGGAGCAATGCCTGACTTCAGGGCCTCTGTTCTGGGTTCAATTGGAGGGGCAGGGTTGGACTGTTGGCGGTGGAGATTACTTAAGACTAAGAGTTCGCCACCAACCTTCTGTGTGACTCAGAGTGCCTTCCTCCCTGGCCTCAGTTTCCTCATTCCTACAAGGGTTGGTGAGGATTAGATGAGCCCTGGGGACCCTGTGACATCCAGCCCTTTGATCCTCCTGGCACAACCTCTGTAAAAAGTGTGAGCTCCATTCACTGCCCTTCAAAGGACTTAATCTGACTCCTGCTTTGTGTTTCCCTTTTGTTTCTGTAAAGGGGTTGTGAGAGAGGGGTCTGAGCCGTTTTTCAAAACCTAGAGTGTTGGGAGTTTGGGCCTAATGGTAGCCCTTGATGGCTCAAGATTTCTGAACTTTCATCTGCAAGTCCTGCCTGCTACTTGTTCTCTCTAGATCCTGGGGGCTTGGCTGACCTTAACATCACTCATCCAACAGTATGCTATGGCTCTGAGTGTGCTAGCTGTTGCATGAAAACTGGCTGCAAGGAGCAGCCAGAAGGCCTGAAGCTGTGCGGCTTGGTTGGGGGAAGAGAGCAACAACAGTGGCCTGAGTGGCCACATAGGGCAGAACTGGGACCTGTGGGTGAGAAGTCATGGGAAGCAGATTTCCATCCCTCCTTCTGACAGATCTTTCCTGTTTTTGAGCACCTGAGCTTCATGAGGTAGTGAGCTTCCTGTCCTTGGAGGTACTCCAGCAGAGACTGATGGAGACAGAATTGAGGCATCAGGAAGGAGTGTGGAGTTGCTAGATGATTTCAGCAATCCCTTGTAGCCTGGAAGCCCTGTAACTGATACAGGACAGGTGGGAGTACATCGTAAGCGTTTGCATGATGTAAGCCTTAGCAATCAGCATCTTCTCCCTCTTCTCCCCACATGCATCCCGAAAGTAAATCAAAAGGCAGCTGACTTAAATCCCTTCTCTGGTGAGCAGCATTTGATTCTCATATTGTTGCAGAGCCACCATAAAGCATTCTCAGCACACATCAATTGAGATTGGGTGGTCAGAGGTCAGAAGTTGTATTTGCATCCTTGCAAAGACTTGCTCATAAGTTTCATGCCTGATGCTTCTGATGGAGGAAGACTTGATGCTTGAAGGTAGAGGAAGAAACCTATTCCCCCTGCCTGGTGTCAAGCCAGGAACCCACGCAGGACCTTGGGTCAGCTCAAATGTCTACAGATTTATCATCCCAGAGCAGCCGGAAGTTGGGGGGGGGGCCCACAGCCAGTGCCTGATGGAATGAGAGTCCCTGGGCCTCATTGTATGGGACAGTGACAAGTATTATTTCTCCAAAGTACAATACAGGAGAATCTATATTCCTTGGGGCACTTGCCCACTTAAAAAGAAAACAATATTTTGGAAAGTAAAGAACTGTAGTGATTCATTGGTAGCTCCAAGCCTTGATTATTTTTCTCGGTGTTATTTTAAAAAATGGGTCGTTTGCAGCTCGTTTCTCTTTCATGTGCAGAGGACTGTGTTTTGTGGGGGCAACAGGAGGGAGAAGGAGCCCCTACTGCAGTTTTCTCCTGTCCTCCTGAAGCCCATCCATGGCAGCAGCCCTAAGAACTAACAGGGTGGGGACACAGGGTGCTCCCCCAAGAGGACACGAGACCTGTGTGGGAGCTGCAAGTGCTCTGAATCAGAAACAATGGCTTATTGAATAGAACCTGAGAGCAACAGTCATCTCTAAACTCATTCTGTTTAAAGAACATTGTAGAAAGTTACACTAATGACCCCACAAATACCATGTAGTGGACCCCAGGGTGTAGGAGGCAAAGACATTCAACTTGGAGTCAGCCTGGTCAGAAGTCCCTGCTCTGCCTTGCTGTGTCACCTTAAGCAAGTCACTTTGTCTCTCTGAGTCTTGGGTTTTTCATCTATAAAGTGAGCAGGTTGTGCATTTCCCAGATCAATGATTAATTTTTACCCCTCTGTGTTCTCTTCTAATTGCTCTTCACTTGCAAACCATCTTTAGGGTCATTTCTCACCACAAAATAGTTCCTTTAACTCTCATTCTTGTGAACTATTTCCTTTATTGAGGACAGGGTGAAATTTTACTGGTTCTTGTCATAAAAGGATCATGTTGCTCACCCAGAAGAGGACTGAGGCTCCTGTGGAGGGAGGGTCAGATCAAATACTCATATTGGGAGTCTCAGACCGTGTGCTCTACTCTGAGCAGGCACTCTTGGGGCTTTTTTTTTTTTTTTTGCAGTTGCCTCGTGTGTGGAAACAGGACCCTGTCAAGACAGCGACCAGTCAAGGATGCATTCAGCACGGTCTTGACCCTAGCGCTGGGGGTGGGGACAGTGAGGAGGAAGGCACGGGGGACAGGGCACTCTGAGAAGACTGCCTGAAAAGGGTGAACTAGAAAAGTGAATTGTCAGTCGATGTCGAGAAGAGGGACATGAGGGAAATGCATACACAGATATGCAGACTAAATGAGATGTCTAGGGGAAAGAACAAACCCCAGCGCTCGTAGAGCAAGGAGAGCAACGAGCTGGCATTTGCTGAGCACGTGGCAGTGAGGCAGGCACAGCGCTTTGTGTATGCTCGGTCCTCACAAAGGATTTTGAGGTGCGCAGTATTATTCACACTGTTCAGAGGAAATGAAGGCTCAGAGAGGTCAGAGAATTGCCTGAGGTCACACAGCTTGTGAAGTGGTATAGCAAGCATTTCAGACTGCAGCTTCCTAATTCCAAAGTCCAAGCTTTTTTTTTAAGTATAATTTCCATTTTATTGAGTCTTTTCTTTTCCAAAGAACAGTATTTCTTCAGTCATTAAGCACTTAGTTCCTTACATGGGCTCTGGTGGAGGTCGTGGGGCAGCATCTGCAGGTCTAAATCTGGGCGGAGGTGTTCGCCCCGGCTTCGCGCGAACGATCCCTGACTACCTTGCTGTGAATGGCACAGCTCACGCAGTAATGTAGTTTCACACACAGCTTGGGAAGCACATAGGCGTGGAAAACGCTTGCTTTGGAAATATCCCTGACGGCTGCGGCTTCTATTATGTTTCGAATAACGAACTTCTTAATGGCCTTGTCCTTGGGCACACATCTGGCACAGCTGGTGCAGCGAATAGGCTGCACATGGCCACGGCCCTTTTTGGCGCAACCATTGTTCCTTCTTTTCTTGGTCATTTTGGAAGCGAGGACGCGAGAGAGCCAAAGTCAAAGCTTTTAATCGCTATTGGCTCATCTGCCAGGTGCCAAGAAGGGGGGTAAAATGCTCAAAGAGGCCAAATGACAACTTGTGTCCTGGGAACAGAGGTGACAGAGGAATCAAGTGCCTGCGAAAGAACAGGTGGTCTGAATGAGTGAATGGAGGCTGGGGTGACCAGGTGTTGGATGCTGCAGGGAAGGGGAGGGGAAGGAGGGTGACAGCCTGAATGAATAACAAGGACATCTGATATTGTCATTATCCCAGCACATCGCAGCCCTCTCCGTGGCCTGTGGGAGAGAGGTGTGAGGGGATGCTCGGGCTTGGGCGGGGGAATATAGCTGTGGACCCTGCACCAGGTGTGGGTGGGTGCGTGGCTGGAAGACATTTCAGGCTGCAGAGAGGACAGCCCCTCAGCCTCGGCAAGCTTTCTCTCCTGAAGAGGGCAGGACACTTCCCTGCACCCCCACCCTGAGCCAAACAGCCCAGCTGGGTTGGGCTTCCCTTCTGACCCTCGCCACCTCTGTCTTCTCCCCTCAGGACACAGCGGCAGGTGAGCCTTTCTTTATCTTCCAAGTCACCTCACTCCCAGGTCCTCCATGGAGAATTCCAGGTGTTGGAACCTCAGGCAGATGTTCTAGACTTTACCCCCATCCCAGCCTGCCCTCTGGTGCTCCCTCGTCCTACCCTGTGCCCCTCCCTTGTGTGCGCTGAGCCCTGTCTCTACTTTGGCTCTTAGCTCTCCAGGCTGCTGGCTTCCCTGCAGTTCCTCTGTCCACCTTGGAGGACAAGGGCAGGCACACAGGTCCTCCTGGTCCCCTACACAGTGCTCTGTTCGTGAAGGATAGCAAACTGAATGCTGAGTGGGTCTCCATTTCTTCTTCAGTTAAAAACTGTAAATATCTGTGTCTGATTCTTGCTTGTATTGCTTCCAACGTAGACTCTCAATAAACGTTTGATGAATGAGTGAACACAGTGCGTATGTCCTCACTCTCCTGTCAGCCTGTGTATGATGTGGTCTTTCGTCTCTTTTTCCCTTCCTTCAGCCTGAGCAGGGTCTTCTAAAGCCTCCCCCTGGTTCCATAAGACTGTTCCTAAAATCCAAGCTCCTGTGGCCCAGGCCAGCTGGCCTAGGCCTTCTCTGGAGCCCACCTTCATTCAGCCTGTTACAGTCTCCAGACCTCCTTTATGTCATCATCTCCATTCATCCTCACAGCATCCCTGGGAACCAAGTCACATTATTCCCATTTCATGGAGGAGCAAACTGAGGCTCCAAGCAGAGAAGTAGCATATAGCCAACCAGCAATAGAACAGACACAGTACCAGGCCCGCCACCCTGCCTGCCTCTAATAGGAGTTGTCAGCTAGAGTTAATCAAGACAGAAATGAGATGAGTGAACGTGGAGATGGCTCATGGCTTGCTACCTTCCACAGCTGTTTTATCTTAATAGGAGCTGACAGGGTGACTGTCCCAGAGGCCCCTGTAGATGTGGGGGTTGCAAGAGGAGGGTGGCCTTGGGCTAAAAGCAGACTTCAAGACACTGTCTAAGAAATGGAGTCTGACCATTGAGTTATACAAAGCCACCCTTGGCTGAATTCTAACCTCCTGGGAAATGGTGGGAGAGGCTAGATGGGGAAAGTCAGATTCTAGCAGCTGGAGGAATGGAGGGGAGGAGAGAAGCTAGATACTGC